TCCAGATGTGCTGGCTATGAAGCTAGTGCAGATCTAGATACAGCTACCAAAAGACAAATCCCATGGTCTCATTAATATGCTCAAATTAAAACACAGAGGGCATCCACAGAACTAGATTTCCTTCTTTGTTTCCTTCAAAGAGCTAAAAATAAAGCAACCTGTAGTTAATGAACGCCTGAGAAATATAACCGTAAAAGAGAGTTTGGTGAAGTAACTCCATGAATAAAAGCTCTCTTGAGCTAATCCAATAATGACTGAGTACAAGTGAACAGGTCAGGAAATATGACTACGAATAGGTCTGGAGGTAAATATGCCTGGCTACCCTCCTGAACGTGATGTGAGATGACTGAGTGACTGATTCAATATGGCTGAGCACAAGTAAAAGGGCATACTGATCTAATATGACTGCAAGGATAAAAGATCATGTGTGTGAATGATTATCTCACTGACTCTACGAGTAGAAGATGAGGCGAAATGACAGGAGTAAGTGAAGGAAAATAGGAACATCTGAAATGCAGAAAATGGTGACGAAAATAGTTGCAGGTGGTCCACTGCTGGTAATCAATGGAAAATCCATATTGGCAATTGACTTGTATGTAGGATGGAAGTGTACTGCTGAGGGCATGAATTTGCCAAGCCCTGCACCTGGCTTATCCCAAAGATCCTACAAGTTAAATTGTGACATGAAGAGTAATTGCAAAGAGTTCTTACTATTGAGAGGACTTTCTTAAATAGAGTCTCTCCTGACTTCTCTTAAGTGACTTTATAAAAAGGACATATGTAAGGGGCCAGGTCTTCCAGACATCCTTGCAGAATAATAGTAACACTTTTTGAAGAGGAGTGGGGATAGAATACCTCTTTCTGCTAGGGACCTACTAAATTTATAAGCTCATCTGTTCATTTATATATATTTAGTTTCAATTTTTCTAGGTAATGTAAGTGACCTTATTCCTTTTTGCTCTTTCTTGAACAGTTTCCTGTGCGTGTGGGTGGAGGATATTAAATATGGTTATAAAATACCACTTCATTCATTTTCGTCAATGATTTTGTACTCTGTTGCGTGAGGAGAATTACAACACAAGGTATAGCAGCAGCAAATAAAATCCTCTAGCACAGCTGTCTACCTGAGTAAAGTGCAAAGCATGGTTCACAAGATGACTTGTCTACCCAACAGATTTAACAAGACCAGAATAGCTGAAGTATCATAACTCTCAGCATGCAGTTACTCCAAGTAAAATTAGATTCGTGCCCTGTATGTAAATGTAACGGCATAATTACCTTAATATCAATCTATCCTCCGTCCATAGGTTTTACAACACTACAACCACAATAAAATAAATGTGTGTATGTGTGTATCTGTCCCTCTTTCCACCTCGGTATAAAAACAGAGTTAGTAAGCAAATATCTGAGATATCTCTGCTCTTTTCAATTTGTAACACTCTTACACAGACTTTATCCTCTGCAATTTCTTTAATCTTCAAGTTGGTAGGAATTAGGTACTTTTCTTCCAAATTCTTCCAAATTTTATATTTATTTTAATCTAATTTTTTCTTGCAGCAGCAGCTTTCAATATTTTGTAAAGTATTGACTCTTTCAGGTTATTAAAATATGCTATACACCCTTTTCAAGTATCAAAAAGAAAAAATCAACTTCTCTTATTGTGATTCCCTTTAGATGTCATTAGCATGTTCAGAAATCACAGAAATACAGATATTCATATATATCTACTTCTCTTCCATTGCCATCTGAAAGGGGGGATGGAGTAGGCTATAAACATAATTTGCTTGGTACTTCAGATCATTGTTTTGCTGAAGACCTAAATGGGTGGAAGAAAATTCTTCCTGACACAAGACAGTGGCATGTTCTCAGAATGAAAAATAGCAAGAGCACTGGAATTTACATACACAAAACCTTCTGTTGTCATAAATTGATAATAATGTCATTTGAGGTGGGAAGGTTATCCTTATCTCTGGGGTATAAACAGTGTGTTTCTGCTGATGAAAGGATTATGAAATTTGAAAAGATAAGCAATCATAAATTTAAAATTATAATACTGTTTGCAGTATTAGGCAAGAGGCAGCTACTCTCTGAGTAGCTTTGTGGACCTGCTACAAATGTTACAAACAGGCACAATAGCAATGGCACAGGAATACATTTTAAAATCACTTTACACCACTTTATCCCCCTTTTGCTAACTTTCAATTAATACACCAGCATAAATTCATAATACAAAAAGACCTCATCTTGAGACTGTAGGAAAAATGGAAATTTGTATTTCCAGTCAGGTTTTACAAGTTTCCCTTGTTTCTGCCCCTTTCAAGTCGACATTTTAGTGTATTTTAATAATTGTCCCTTTTCTCAAAATTGTGGCATGAGTGTTTTCCCCCCTCCGTATGTTTCACAGCCTTCTGAGAGAAATGTACATTTGTTCCTGATCAAGCCTATGAGAAACTTTGGGCATAGTTCTGGACTTCTGCATATTTAAATTCATGAAAAGGAGTCTGAAAGCAGCTGGGCTGCAAAGTTAGACCTGTGTTGGGTCCATCCTAAAGGTGTAGGTTCAGTAGCACCAGCTGCAACTTGAGCAGCCCATGCAGAAAGTTCTCTGTGGCTTTTGCAAGCAGAGTTGTCCGGTTGCAGTGTGGACCACGAAATTGCTCCTCAGTCCCAGGGAAACTACTATTCACCATCCCACCAGCCTCTGGGGATCTTTATCTGAGTGCCCTCAGGCCATTCACATTGCATCCCCAGCACCCTGGGCTATCATTCTCACCCTGAGTCCAGATACCCAAGGACAGTCTCCAAAGGTTCCTTTCTAAAGCATTATAATGCATTGTGTTTGTGCAATAGTGACTCATCTCGCTTCTGAGAAACCTATCTCTGCTCTACTGCAACCCAAAAAAATGAAGTCAAATGTCAGTTGACCGTGATCAGCTTAAAAAAGCTTGCAGATGCCCTTAAGAGATACTCATAAAAAGAAACTAGGAAGTCCTTTAGGCAGAATAAAGCATATCAGTTGACTTATCTCTGTTACTAATATCAAAAACCACTTACTAATTTATTCTGCAGCAGGATGTAGGCAGAGATAGTCCTCCTCCTGTGGTTACCACTTCTGTCCCTTCAGTGAGTGCGTTGCATTTGCAGTAATTGCAGACTAATCCCATGCTGGTGGGGGTTATACCTCTGTCAGAGAGCACAGGAATGACACAAAGATAGACTGAAGTGGGGGTGAGGGTGGGAGAGATAATGAAGAATAAAAGTGCTTTAATTCACAATTATTTCATTGTGTACAGTTTGAAAACTCACACCAACTCCATGATGGACAAGGACTGCCTTAGGAACAGAAATTATTCCATTGTCATATTCGTGGATCAGTGAAGAAGACAGAAATACAGGAGTAATAAAATGTAAGGGGCCTTGTGATTTCATGATTAGGTTTTATATTATGATTGTGGCAAGCTGCTGTTTAATGGACAGATTTTCCTTCCACTTAAGTCAATGGGTCTTTTCTGCTGATTTCAGTGTTATAGATTCTCAACTTACTCTTCACTTATTTGATGATTTTAGATTTTATATGTCTGTCAATTGGTGTTTCAGCAAGTTCTTGGTGATCCATCAAAAAGTCCAATAGGCTTTTACCATCCTGTCAGCTATTTTATAACCTTCCTTTATTTTAAAATATCCAAGTTCACAAATAATAATTTTCTCTCTCCCTCTGTTGGCTGTGGGGAACCTTATAACAAATTTTAAATAAAACTGTGCAGTTCTGTTAGAACTCAATCTGGGGAGAAAGCAATTTTGTCACATTGCCTGGGACTTTTCCCTGTGTCTCTTGTTCTCCTTGATGATCTTACAGGGAAAAAAATTTATGAAACATTAAGAATCACAACAAGCCCTCAGAGATGCAAAGGAGGACTGGGACTAGCAATTAGACACCACATTATATCAGTGTAACTAATCACAGAGGTAGCTTTCCTTCACCAGCAACAAGACATAACCAGAATTGTTGAAACTGCAGATCCAACATCTTAAATCCTGACAACATCTGTTCTGACTAACAGTATCCTTATGGATAGTCTGTTGCCTATCCAATAGCAGTTAGTTTAAGAGAAAGCAGACTTTCGACCTACCACTATAGTGTGTGATGTCTTTTCTTTGGATGTTAGCAACATCTGCAAAGAGGTCATGAAATCAGCTTTAGGACATTCTTGTGTTTGAGTACCGTAAATGCAGAAAGCATTTCAGTATTTTAGTTAAAGTTTTGTAAAAGTAGCTCAATGTAAATGATGTTGAAATAGCATTCAGTTTTCTTTCTGATGTGACTTAACCATGCTTTGTCAAAAATAAGACTTTTGAAGGCTCCTTATTGTTTGTGAAAGTCCTGTGACAGAAATGGTACTTAGTGGTATTTTTCTGAAAAGGTATACTAAAGGGTATTACTCCTCTTGTTTGGTTATTAATAGCTATTTCTGAACTGTGAAGTTAGGAGGAGACAAAGAGTGAGGGCCATATCTAGACTGAAATCCACTTAAGACTGGTGATGATGAGGTTTAAAAGAAGTGCAGAACTGAAGAACTCAGTCTGACATTTTTTTTTTTCTACTATTTTAATGAATGATGTCAAACTCACTGAAACTTTTTGTTCTTTTCCATACCAGGATTAGATAAGTTTTAATTTGGGCTAGTTAACATATATGAATAATGCAGTATAAAAAAACCCTGTATCCAACAGATCATTTTGCAAACAAGTTGCCCAGAGAAGCTGTGGATGTGTTCCAGGCCAGGTTGGATGAGGTTTTGAATAACCTGGTCTAGTGGAAAGTGTCCCTGCCCATGGCAGGGGGGTTGGAACTAGATGGTCTTTGAGGTTTCTTACAACTCAAACCATTATATGACCCCTTGATTCTATAATTCTATGATTCTATGATTCAATGGTTAAGCAAAACACAGTAGAGTTTGCAGGACTAGTACATATAAAAATGCACTCTAGGTAGCCTAGAATTTCAGTTGAGAGAAGCTACAGCAAAGGACTTGTCCAGTGACCAAAGACCTTCTGTGGCCTTTGCTGGAAGCTGCTGTGAGACAGACTCTTCACAGACTTCCCCAGGTAAAAGCAGTCTGGGGTAAAAACAGTGGAAGTCTGGAAAAACAGTGGTAATCACACCTAGGAGGCCTGGCACATAGGTGAATGAGGGGTTCCACAAATTTTTTTGAGGTTCAAGAGTATAATTTGAGCTGAGTTGTGGGATTTGAGTATTATCAAATATTTTTTAGTGCCATTTTTGAAGTAGGTTATTGAAACTATTTTCCACACCTTGCGGGTCTTGTAACATAGTCACTTAGATAAGATAGATGGTACCTGTAGCTGCACTTCACTTGGGGAATAATTAGTAGCATTCGGCTTCCAAAAACTGAACTCGCCACTTCAACCCCTGCCAAAAGCCAGGGGCGAGGTAGGGAGTCTGGGAAAACACTGCTCATGAGCAGGAAATTTCATCAAAAGGAAAGCTCTCTCTCGGGAACATCTGCATACTGCAGCTCTCTGGGCTTCTCAGGGTGACCTTCAAACATTTGTATGATGTGGAGAGATTCCTCTAGTGATGCAAGATTTATTCAGTACTTTTTCTACTTACTATGTTTTCCTCAATGAAGAGGGAGACCCACCACTCTCACACTCTTGTAATACCCATTTTTGAGTTTAAATGTACAGCCGAGCATTACTTCTAGGGGAAGATGGTCCTATCCATGGCAGGAGGGTTGGAACTAGATGGTTTTAAAGCTTCCTTACAACTCAAGCCTTTTTATGATTCTGTAACTCTTAGTGTGGCCACCATGTTGCCCCCAGCATCACCTGGGCTAGGACCTGTCACTCTTCACAGGGAAAAAATTCCAAACTGCTCCAGAGGGTAGACAGATCTTACATAACAGGCACTGTGGGGATGGGTGAGGTGACTTCCTCTGCACTGTGTTATCACTGTGATAAAGCCTAATGCCAGCTGACACTGTTCTACCAAGGTTAAAGTGATTCGTGGGGCTCTGTTAAGATGCTGCTCAAATATCTTTCCAATCCACAACGTTTTAAAAAAAACCAACAAAACCTCATAACATTTAAACTACTACCAATGTATAGTGTTTCATATTGTAGGTACCTTATTTGGTAGATACAGGTGTCCTCTGTGCTTATCTCAACAACAGTATTTTAGCTTACATAGAAGAGTCATAAAAACTATTTCTAAACATAATACTCTGAAACTGGAATGCATTTTGAGAAGGAAACACTCTGTTTATCTCAGCTCTATGAAATGTAATCAGAGGCATTGATGAGCCACCCCAGGGTGGGATCCTGCTCTGGCACTACTCTGGTCCGGGCAGCTGTTCTGTGGCTTTGAGACTGGAAGCAGCTTCACAATCTATATTGAGCAAATCTAACTGTAAAACTAGAAGTAAATAATATGTAGCATCTCTCCCTGCGGTTGTGTGCTATGTACACATAACAATAGTTCCAGCTGAGAAAACCATTCCCAGTGTGCCTCTTTAGTGGGAGGAAACTAGCACTTCATACAAATACTTTAGTAGCATGCACCTCCATTCTGCTTAATCTTAGCAAGGCTTCTTTTTTCCTGTTTTAAATTCAGAGCTTCAGTTCTCTTGATCTAAGAGGTTAAATACTTCAAATCACATCAGTGCCCCAAGATTGTGAAGGGCCAGCTCAATGATGATGACTGCAAGTCGAAACATTAAGAATGCAAATTATCAGTCAAGTGACAACTGTTAAGCTGTATTAAAAACTATGTTGCTTCTGCTTAACAGACACACAGATAGAAATGATGCTACTGTGAAATTTGCAGGGGTAACAGAGTTCAAAGTAGAAAGAAAGCATTTGTTCTCTTGTCTGTTCAATTGCTGTTTTGAAAACAAGCAACAGTATCACCTCAAGAAATCTGCAGCTGAGATCTGTCACCAGGCAATGTACTTACTAATAAATACAGGATGCTGATGAATAAAGAAAAATAATAAAAGAACCTTTTGTATTATAAGAAATTCACCTTATTAGACTACTTTAATACTTTCTGTCATTCATAGGTGGCATATAATGGCATTTAAAGTCAAAAGCCTCTGGCTGATGACTGCTTGCTAATGCCATATAAATTCCAAGAGCTGATAGAGCTTGCCCAAATACTCCTGTACATCACACTGATTTCATCTTTTCCTTCCATCAGGACGCAATCTTAAACTGTATAGGAATTCATTTGCTTTAAATGTGCAAAAAAGATTTCTTTACAAAGTCAACAGCCAGCATGCAAGGAACAGTACTTTGCACGTCCCTTTTCTTGATTTTCAATGGTGCCCATTCTGCTTTTAAATCTCAAATTCAAATGTACCAACAAAAATATGTCCACTTCTTCCTCCTGCCTCTGCAATTTATTGTTGCTGGAGGTCAGAGGGTTAAATACTATCTTTAGGGTTTGAGGTTTTCTTTAAAAAGCTGGATGATTTTATGACACTGCTCGGATCCCACTCTAGCATGGCACAATTCACAGTTTGAATTATATTTTGGCTGTCTCATGGCATTTCAACTTTGACTCCAATAAAAGCAGGATCAAATCTCATTTTCTTCTAAATAATGAGGGTAGTATTGTGGCTTCACTAGAGTGTCCATCCTGAACTTGATGCATCATTTAGCCAATCTGCTATGGTAAATCCCACATCCTTACTCCGTCAGTGTGCTTTTATGACAATGAAAAAACTGATGAAGGTATTAGTGCCAGCCAGTAAGATGGCACTACCTTACTGAAACCAGTGATGTTACCCTCATCATAAAATTTCTGACACTTTTGAGGCCTGTTAGTATCTTGTTTAATGAGGGACATCACAACTGTAGGCAGTTTGCAAACAGAAACTCAACCAAATATAAATACAATAATAGTAAGTAAGTTTATAGAAAAATTGTTTTTAATGCACAGATCTAAGTACTCACCTTGCAGCAGGGAAATCAGACACAGCACAACTGAGCCAATCAGAAAGGTTTCACTAATGCCCAGGGCTTATAAATGATTGTTTCTGAAAATCATGAGAGAATACTTTGCACTTTGGCATGGAAATTAGTAATACACAACTAGTCTGTATAGTGCAATACTACATATATGGCAATTTACATTCAATCCTGGTGTCAAACCTGCATTCCTAATAAGATGATTCTTTGGTGAATTATTCTCAAATGCACACACCAGCTTGTGACATTTGGACATTTTCTCTCTGGCTATCATCACTGCCGCTTATAAGTGGTCTTCCAGACAGAAATGGCTCAGAGGTCTGGTGCAGTCCATTAATTTTTGAGACACTTCCTTTGGAATTGGTCCATATAGAATTGCAACTATCCAACAAATATCTTTACTTGCTTGGTCCTTAGTACTTGGTAGACATTTTTCATTGGCATTTTGAACACCAGGTTCTGTGTCATAAAGCACAATTTAGCTCTTTTGGAGAAGCATCTGGAATTCATCTGTGTAAAGAGTGAGCATAGACTTGTATAAGATAGTGTTTGTAAAATGATTACCCGCCTTCTATAAAGTTTTATAGAACTCCAGATTCAAGTTAATACAGCTCTGAAATAACCAGTCATATTTATCATATAAAGTAACAACTAATCACAACCTATTTTCTTTGCTGCTTTTCATTTGCTGCACCTCAAAATACTTCACAAGGAGGTAAATATCATTATCCCTAATTTATGAACAGCACGACTGGCAGACAGAGAAGTAAGACCAACCACCTTCCAAGTTTTTCATGAAGCTTTTATAAACTTGCCAAAACAGAGATCACAAATAGCAGCTAAACAACTGACATCAAACATGGTTCAATGAGAGGATGGTGGATAATTGTAATACGCAAAGATCTCAAACATCTAAAGTTGTTAATATGTTACCATATATGACACAGATTTGCTGTACTGAATTACCCACAGGGGAAGTCACCAGAAAGAGAGAGACCTCTACTATTGTCAAAAGTATTTCCCTGTTCTTGTTCAGAGCAGGATTCTGAGGAAGACACAGCTATTCTGCTGTGAAAAATACATCTGCAGCCAACTACTCCTGCTGAATGCTTAAGAGGGCAGAAAACCAGCTCTAGCCTAAAAAGGCTGAAGTGACTCTTTTGGAATTGTAAGTAGTTTGTAAGTAGGTAATAACCAACATATAATTGAAACTTCCTCTAAGGAATCATCATCTTCCTTCTTAGTGAACTGAAGCTCCACCCAACAGCTCAAGTGCAGGAATGCATTGTTACACAATTCCTGACGTTCAGGTAGTGTGACTTTGACTGTATTTTACATAGCTATAATTTGGAGGAAGTCTGATAGGATTAAGGAAATGTCTTTGTTATCTCTAGCCAATGATTTAGCATGAAAACAATGTGATAACTGCATTTCCTGAAACAAAATAATAGATATTGGAATGATATCATCACTGTTTCCTACAGCAAAAACATTGTCTTGTCTTACATTTTTTATACAGAAATCTTAATGTTATATAGTTCTTTAAAATTTCAGTTGGTTACTACAGAAGTTGGTTACAGAAGTCTTTAATATTGCTATGCAACAATTTTAATTTATGAGCATGAAAAACTATTTTTATCACATCCTCCAGCTATAGAGTGATAAGCTGTTTAAACTGCCCCAAACAATTTTGCCAATGCACCTTCACTCTGATTAGGAATTTACTTATTATTCCAGTCTTAGGCTTTTCTTGATGAGAAATGGTAATTTGTGCCAAACTAGCATGGCAATTTCTGCATCAGTAAAATCACTGTAAGAATTAGGGCTCTGTCATTTTTCAGTTGCAGCAAATAATATAATTTCCAAAAAAATCAAGGCTCAGTTTCATTTCCAGGTTGGATTTCGGCATGGTCACAAGCCAACACCACGGTCTGGCACAAGAAAGCTGCCAGGTTGAGTCGACTTCTGAACCTAAATTCCTTCAATGTGGTTATGAATAGAAGTGCAGCCCCAGGCTGGAAAAGAAGGCCCTGAAAAACACACATATGAAAGAGTAATTGTTGCTTTTGCTGTGAAGAACATTGGCTTGGGAAAGGCATCCTGCGTCATTGTGTCCAATCCCCTGCTGTCTTAGGCAACCGCAACATATAATCCTTTTCATAAATTTATCAAGTTTCATCTTAAACTCAGTTAGGCTTCTTGCCCCCAATGAGAAGGCTGTTCCCAAGCCTCACTGTGCTGAGGGTTAGAAATATTCTTCTAATTTCCAGCTTACATTTATTCATGGCCAATTCAGGCCCATTTGTTCTTGTGCCAACATTGTTCTGTAGCTTAAATAGCATCTCTCCCTTTCTTGTGTTTACCACCCCCAATGAACTTAGAGAGAGCAGGCTGTCCCTTTGGCCTCTCACTGTCATGCCATCTTGTTTGTACATGAGCTGCAGTCCCCCCAAACAATGGATGAGCTATTGTTTTAAGAAGGTTAGCTGAAAATAAAAGCAGCACTCTGCCTTGCTGGCTGGAACAGACAAAATCCATCACTGGCATGTCAGGGGATCAGCAGAACCCTCTGGAGCTAAAAGCATCCCAGGGAAAACAGAAGCATAAAGTCATAATAGACCAGTCAATAGACTCAGCATAATAAGGCCAGTTTAATACATTTGCCCAATTATCCCTTACTACTTCTGAGTCTGAAAGAGCAAAAACTGCTCACAGTGAAACCAACTTACTGGTCCAGAGCAGCTAGGTAGGGAAAAATTAGCATTAGAAACTGGGCTAAACTAATATTTTTAGCAATATCACTGTGCTCGTGGGAGGAGGAAAACGCATCCATGCTTTTAGGCATAATAGGAGTAACTGGTCTGAGAGCTTGTGGTGTGTCTGAGCCAAATGTTTCTCTTACAAAGGCTCCTCTGTGCGTGCCTCACTTAGGTTGGTTGCAGCTGTTAACTTCCAGGAGGCAGGTTCTGAGATTTCTTTGACAGCCTCCAATTTCAATATTGAAAGAGTAACCATATTTCTCGACATATGCCAGAACAATTTAAAAAGGTTCTGGCCCCCTTGTGTTTCTAGCTTATGTGGTTTTTCCAGTGCTTTCATGATTAGGGTAGGAATTTCCAGACTATCATAACGTAAATGGCATTTTCTCAATGAAAAATATTCAAATGGTGGCCATATAAAGGATGAAGTTTTATTCAAATTTCTCCTTCCATATGTTTTTATGTATATATCATATTATATCACATCGTATCGTATAATGTCTTTTTCTATTCTATTACACAGTGGTTTTGATAAGAGAGTTAGGAATGACAGAATCTTCTGTGAGGGACTCATAGCTTGAGGACTGATGACCTGACAATGTAATTCTTGCTATCATGACTAGGGGTGCTGTTATAAGTTCGTAACTCTCTTTCACCTTCACTAAAATTTAAGTCTTTTAAGCAAACCACATTGTTCTGGGAACTTTCTGCTTTCTGATATACTCATAAAGGTCAGAAAATTCATCCATATTTTCTTTTCAAAATTATCCTTGAGCTAGACACAGATTCTTACATGCTGCTCAGGGAAAAAAAGAAAGAAAGAAAGAAAAAAGAAAAAAAAAAAGAAAAAAAAAAAGTCTTAAACTTCCAAAATTTCTAAAGACTCAGAACCAAACCCAAGAAGAAAAAGAAAGGGTCAAACATATATTCACAAAAAGTCCCATAAATTTATTAAAATGAAATGTGTTACAACTGCAGGACAACTCCTGCTTTAACACTTTTTAAAAGCATTTTGTCCTGTTACAAAAAGCTTGCTCTTGATTTCATATGCAAAGATGAAGGGCTTCTAACATGTCTTTTTCTGGAAATCCCTAGTTCGCACATCACACATAGCCCAAAATGGAGAAGTGGATTCCTTGGGATAACATCCATCCATCTTTCTGTCTGTTAGTCTGCCACACAAGTTTGAAGAGCCAACGAGGCCCACTATGCTGCAGCACCCGTGTCAGCAGTGTCATGAAGAGGGTCCTCCACACCAGGAACCCCTGAGTAGGGGATTCAACACAAGATCAGACTCTGCAGATGGAGCTGGAAGAACAGAAGAAATGTTTTCTCAAGTTTTAACCATCCTCTGCTCATGTTTTGTAGGCAAATTGGTCCATATGGCTCTTTTTTACCAAGATAACTTTTTGGCATAGGTATCATGTCTGCCACAGGGGCTAACAACAAAAAGAAGGGACTTGCTCTTGGTGTGAGTGCATCAGGAATGGGAGGATGGATATAACTCCACTCCCAGCCAACTTCTGATATTTCACTTTCAGTTGAAACAGATTTGCTATTGTCCTTGACACGTAATCAAACTCAGCTTCAGCTCATGTATATCTCAGCAAGACAGATTTGGCAGTGGGAGCTGGTGTTGGGCTTCTCAATAAAATTAAGCAGTCTGGGTGCAATGGATGAGGCTATTCCCTTGAATCATCTCACTGTGATTCTGACTTCCTTTTGCAGTGGGTTGGAGGGAGGCCAGTGGTTTGTCAGGGTGCCTTGGGCCAGGAAGAACATTAGGAGAGATAGCAGGGATTTATCCACTCTGTTGGAAATTAGTCCCTCAGTGATCAATGCTGATTTGCTGCTTCTCTGGACAGTCTTTCCTGGCTTCATGGATTAGATGCTGGTAGTGTGGGGAATAACAATAAAACCATTCGCTAGCTGCATCTGGTGCAGGGAAAGCTTTCCAGAGATTATTAGTTTAAGCATCCTAGAGAGACATAATAAAAGGGGAATCATTATTATAGTGTGTGTTTTAGGATATCCATTGCTGCAGAGTCTTGGCATTATTATATAATTTAAAATGATGAAAACAATTATCCTTCAGGATAAAGGAGACTTTGAAGGTGCTGAGCTATAAGTCACTGCCTATGTATTTGTTAGGATAGAAGCACCCTGGCTTGACCATCAGGAGCTGAGTAAAATTCAAGCTCCAGAGGTGAATTTTGGGCAGCAATAGGAAAGCTGTGAGAGTTAGTTTCAACATTATCCCCAGCAGAAGTGACTTCTACATCTCAGAGCTTGCCACTGGGCTGCTGCATAGCTCCGACGTCAGCCTGTTTGTCCTCAGCTTTGTTCTTCTCTGTGGTGCAGGGAAGTACAGAAGAGCAGGAGTGGGTTTTGTCCACAATGGATGCAGTTTTCCTGCATGGCCACCCAATCAAGACTGTATCTGCAGATATGTTCGGACACAAAAATCAGAAGGAGATTCGCAAAGTTGTTACTGCATCTCAAAATCTCAAGCTAAAAAATTTCTTCCAGAAACTACTTGAGTGCTTTAGGACTCAATGTTTGTGACCCTTGTTACAAGTCTGAGATGGCAGGAGTGAATTCCAAGAGGAAACCAGAAGGACCCAGCTCCTGAGTTATAATTATTGTAACCCACGGTAATTGCTTCATGGATAAGCACGGGAATGACTTGGATCTGAGCATGGGGGCTTTTTCCCTCATACTTTTTCCTTCTGTGTCATTGACTTGCTGTATGACTCCCATCATACTGTAGGTATTGGAAACTATAGGGACTCTGAATTTTTTAGTAAAAGAATGCTCTTTCTGAGCCTTCACTACAGATTTAGTTGCTTCACTTCAATCCTCCAACTTTATAAATGTCAGCTTTCACTTACTCGTCTCAAAAAAGACTTGGAAAATCCAGTCAATTCAAATCAGTAATATGCCTACCAGACACTGCATAAAACATGTTACTTACAGGCAAAGTATTAGTGATTATGTATTATTTTGTCTATATTAAAATATATCAACACTGAACATATTGTCATAGTTACTGGAGGACGTGAGAGGGCTACACAGGCGAGTTGTCTTTATAAAATACCATGTGTTTGGCATGAAAGTTAACTGAGGCAAACATTCTGTTTCAGTAGATGTCATACAACCACCAGTGTGGTGGAGATGACCCTCTCCCACACTAACACAGCCTTGAAGGACTGGCATTATGGAAAGCATCCCAGTTTCGAAATGCTGGACCACTTTCATCTCCCTTGCACACTGCAAACTCTTCTTGAAGTCAGTGGGTGGTTGGTCCTAAAAGAAAAGCTGTGTTGAGAGCTGTGTTTTTCTTAGATAAAAGTTACATAGAGAACTCACCCTCTCTGTGCCTTCCTCTGCTTTCCCCAAGTATCAACAGCAGCAACTATTTGTATTGGCCACACCATTATTTTAAACAGAAGGGACTGACTTGCACGCAGCCCACACACAATCAAAATCACCATGTAGCATAAAGCTGATGTCACCTCTTGCTGCTACTCACATAATGGATTTTGTTCTCAGTCTGTGCACCAG